TTTCTGTTAAGCTTGGAGAGATATTATAAATTCTTATTTCTCAATGTAAAGTCCAATAGTGTTATAAAAACCGCGGAAAATTCCAGTAAGATATCTTTAATTGTTTCTAAGTTACAACGGTTCAAATCCTAATGTAAAAAATGGAAAAATTTTGCTTTTTTACACGATTTTGACAATTTTGCTGTCACACCCGGTGTGTGCATGCATATATATATATATATATATATATATATATATATATATATCTGTGAAATCTCTAGAAATCTCAAAAAAGCCTATATGGCAATCAGGTTGCTATTTAATCCACGACAGAAGAAATGGATTGATGCCCAAGAATATTTGTATGAAAGTGGACGTAATAAACTCGGCCTGGATTCGAACGCCGCTCTTCGATTTCACTTTGTCAGTCACTGATCGTTGCACACTTAGAAGTGGCACAAGGCCGAAAGTATGTAGTACCGAGTGTGGCTCGATCTGACTACTACTACTACTTAGACGTAAGTAATCAAGCGAGACGATCTTGCTAACCATTACACCACGTCGAAGTGACCAAGTAGCGACTGTAATGATTTGATTTATTAAGCAACGCTTAGATATGGCATAAGGTCGAATGTATGGAGCACCCCGTGAGGATCGAACTCAACACTAAGTTGTAATTTATCTCGTGAGACAAACTTGTTAACCCTTACACCACGTCGAAGTGTCCAAGTAGCGACTGTCATAGACTGACTTTCTTGCAGGAAGCATTTATATCATTCTTTTTATTTTCATTGTTTTATCTTTTCATCTTCTGTTATCACAAGGAAAAGATACTACGACCTCTCACCATGCAGCATTAATTGAAATAATAGATGAGTACAGGTTGCGAGTTCGAATCTCATCCAAGTATACATCTTTATTTTTCCCTTCTATTTTGCTTACTGAGCGCTCGTAAAATTTTGCGATAAAATGCATAAACTAAAATAAAAAAAAAATAAAGAGAAAAAAAGCAACAAACAATTCATGAAGAAAAACTGGTGAAAATTAATAAAACGAATTGAGATTGCGAAATTTAGAGATGACTTTAAATATAGAGGTTTCTTAAAATTTAAATTTTTTTTAAAACGCGTCGGACTTGTAAATCTTGCAAAGTCGTAAAAAGATGTTGTTTTTTTTCTTCTATTTTTTCAATTATGAATTCCAGATGGGAAATTAATATCACTTAATGAAAACTGATCTTTGATTAGCTCAATTCAATGCTGTTTTAAGTTGTTGTTGAAGATATTGTTGCTGTTGTTGATGATGATGATGATGATGATGATGATGTTGAATTTGAAATTGCAATCTTGTCAAAACCGGCTTGTCCATGTTATATTTTTTCACAGTGGTGCAGCAAAAAAAAAAAAAAAAAAAAAAAACTAAAAAAACAACCTTTTCCATATTGCTTAATATTATAAATATAGTAAAAAGATGTCAACATTATGTTGAAATTTTTATTATCTGAAGTATTATCAACTATTATTAATTTCTGTTTCGTATTTCATTGATCTTAATTTCAGTTGAGCAAACTATCTCTCACAATCCTGCCTTACCATTAGCAAAACAAATTCTTGAACGGGTTCACCATCCTAGTAGCTATCGATACATATTTCTTGTTGATAAAGTTTCGCTTAGCCTGATACAAGGCTACAAGACAGGGAGAATCTGCGATGACTGAACTTACTATTGTAGTAATGATCTGCAAGACAAATTGCTAACCACTGTTCCAACGCGAGGTACCTAAATGTCCTTCATTTATACCGCTCTCTTCAGTAAACATCCAACAACAGTTGCAGATAATAATGGTGAAATGAGGGTCATTAAACCGTATAATAATAGCCAATGTGTATTTATTTATATATTTCCTGTCCCATTTGTAGTTGGAAGGCAGATAAACCAGCTTAAGTTAGTAAATTTATGACTGATTACTTCCCTTAGTCATTTCAATAATCTATACAAATAAAATATCTGCATTTGGGCAAAATTAGTTCCCGAGCAAAATGAACCGTTTAATGAATCAATTCATTTAATCCTACGTTTCTTAAATTGAAGTCTTATTTGTTCAAGCCTTTCATGTGAGGTACTCAGATACCTTTGTCTATTAAGTGATTGTCTTGCTTCAACTTGGTCTTGAAATAGGCTTTTTTCATCGCCGTCTTTGTCGTTCTGTTGCTAATCTTTATATTCAGAGAAATATTTACATTTCACTGTTATATTAAACACATAAAAAATTTAACATGTAAAGATACTGAGCAAAAAGCTGTTTATATAATCCCGAGTGTAATCAATGAATCATAGATACCATTGAACGTCTAAAAATATAAAGGGAACAGATTAATTAAACAGTATAGATTCTTCATCTCCACTTTATTGAATCTTGATACATTGTTTCAAAACTTTTGTTTCATTGCATTTCACTATTAAAACTTTCTAACAATTGCCGCCATTTTTGACAGTACGGTCACAGTAGTTATCAAACGTTATACTAAACTAGTTTTATTAGTTTTATAGATGTACAAATAGGATATTGATTTATTAGCATCAAATAATTTTTCCTATTACCATAACAATGGAATATTCAATAAGTAAGAAAATTATATTAGGGTCGATTGCCGATTAATACATAGTGATATTGACTTTGATATTATTGAAAAGATTAACTTGTGACAAGAGAGGCTGAAATTCAAAACCAGTCAATGCTGAAGACATTTACAGTAATATATTATTATTATTATTTTCTTTGATTTCTGGCGTTTACACATTTTTCCGGGTCCCCCAGGGACCTAAGGTTAGAAATGGCGTCATGACACTTTCCACTGACAAAAAAAAAAAAAAAAAAAATTAAATTACATAGATAAAGCCCTTCGTAAGGTGTGGGCTGTACTTGTCAGAACAATTTTTGTATCTCCTTGAGGCATGGACTTCCAGGAATCCTTCAATTAGTCTCTGCAATCTTTTCCAACCAGTCCTAGGGCTCCAACTACAACAGGGATTGTTGATGTTCCCATATGCCACATTTTCGAGATTTCTATTTCAAGGTCCTTGTATTTTGACAACTTTTTGAATATCTTTGCAGTCAGCAGGAACTGCCATATCAATAAGGAGGCATCGTTTTTGTTTGTGATCTTTAATAACAATATCTGGCCGGTTGGCCTTGATTGTTCTGTCAGTGTGTATTGTGGAGTCCCATAGAATTGTAACAGGTCCTATCTCCGTAACCGGGTCTGGGTGGTGTTCATACCAGTTTCTTTCAGTTCCCGTATTATTATTATTATTATTATTATTATTATTATTATTATTATTATTCTCTTTAATCGTAATATTCACTTTCTTGTTTTTCTTCTTTTTTGTCTTCTTCATCTTCTACTTCTATGTGTTGTGTCCTTTCAGGACGTAAACAATCATGGCACTCCAGAATTTCTTGTCTTTTGTAGAGCTTAATAAAATTATCTTTTTGTTATCTCTCCTAAACCTTGTACCGCCACCATTTAATCAAGCTCGCTGCGTAGGTTATACGGTGTTTTCCTCTGTCCCTCTTGCTTTCAATCTGTCTTGCGTGTAATTCACTTCAGTAAAAATTAAAAGGCAAGAACGATTTTAATGGCGGAATTAGATTCATTAACGAATGATAGTTTAATATATAAGCAAGTATACAGAAAGATAACAAAACTCTACTGATAAAAAATCTATGTATCTACATCTGTGTGCATATATGTACATGTATGCGGCTGGGATAGAGAATATATAGGTTTATGCTAAGTTGCCTTTTGGAGAAAGATTTGGACATGTAATTAATAAGTTTACAAGATATACAAGACAATATGACTTTGTATATCTCAAATTCCTTAGCTATTGAATATTCCGTTGTTATGGTAATAGGTGGTATCATTCAATACTAATAAACCAATATCCCATGTGTACATACAAGAGATCGGTGTGTTAATCTTCTTTCTTCTATTACGTGCCGTGTCCCTTCAGGACATAGGCGATCATGACCCTCCACATCTTCCTGTACTTTGTAGCACTTAATAAGTTTTGCCTTGTTATTTCTCCCCCCCCAACCCTGTTCTGCCATCCATTTGCTCTTCCTGATGCTAAGTATAAGTTTCCTTTTTGTTTGCGTTCTCTACGAAACCTCGTGGTTGCTCATATGTTCGGTCTATGGTATCCTCAGCATCTTTCTGTAGAACCACAGTTCTGTTGTTTCATATCTGTTATTCATCTTTGAAGAGATTGTTCAGCATTCGTCGCCATACAGGAGGAGCGATATCACGTAACAGTTCATTATCGAGCTTAATCGTCCTTGATAATGACTAACAGAATAACCGAAAAGGGCTTGTATATGTAGAACTTTTGGACAGTTTTTACACATTTTAGATCCAGAAAAGAAAATACTTGTACGAATGCAAAGAAAATTGTATAAAATCTTAATCTCAATACCTTGTCAATCGTTTTTAATAAAACTCGTATAAAAGAGGGATTGCTTCCCAAATACACGATTATAAATATTTTTATACATCTCTACCTGTCAGTTTGTCTCTGTCTGTCTGTCTGTCTGTCTCTCTCTCTCTCTCTCTATATATATATATATATATATATATACATATATATATAAAGAAAAAGAAAGAACAGTAAGATATATAATCCGGTGTTCTTATAGATATTTTTATTTTACAAAATAGTGCTCAATGTAAATTTACAGAGAATTAATATTATAAATTAATTGATTTAAAATTGATTTTAGCTTCCATTTTTGAAACATGGTTAGAACTGTGTAGCAAAAAAAAACATATTTTAAATCAATTAATTTATAATATATATATATATATATATTTATATATTGACAAATTGATATAGATATGAACACATTAGGATGGATAGATAGTGATTGATCGTGTGTATCGAGTGAAAAGAGCAAAGGAGAAAGAGAAAAAGAGTGAAGATAAAAGTGAGGAAAAAAAGAAAGCATGACAGATAAAAAGTCAGAGAGAGAGAAAGAGAGAGATAAAGAGAGTGAGATAGATAGATAGATAGATAGATAGATAGATAGATAGATAGATAGATAGATAGATAGAGAAAGTGTGTGAAAAATGAAATAAGGTGTTCTACTTTTCGTTTTTCAAAACTCTCGCCTACTCACTTGAAATGAGTTAAAGTGAAGAAGGAAAACGAATGTATAACAATATCAAATAGCGAAAAAAAAAAAAAAAAAAAGACCAAGAGTCAACTAAAAAGAAAGTCAATTCCCACTCCTTTTCTATCTCTCTTGAAACCACTTTCCCCACTCCTTCCTTTTGTTCTCTTTGCCTCGTTCACTACCCTTCCCTCGTAAGAAGAATCATCGGCGCTTGGAAACCATCAGCATCAACAGCAGCGTCCGGGATCTGGCTGTTCCCGAAAATGTAATTACTCCCGCCTGAGGAAAACGTCTGACTTTTATCGAGCAGTTATGTCTGAACAGTTTTCTTTCCTTTATCTCTTTCTTTTTTTTTCTGGGGTGAGGGTAGGAGAAGTGGCCGGGCATCAGTGAATGAGTTTTTATGAATGCCGCTGGTAGGGTTGGGGGGTTAGTTTAGAAGGACGTGTTAGAGTTGATGTCTGCAAGTAGGTTGGGAGCTGTGGGAGAAGTTGTTATGAATCGGCGATGAAGTGGAGGGGGGGGTTAAAGAGAGATAAAGCAGAAGACATGAAGAAAAAAAGGAAAAGGGATAGATAGAAAGTAAAAAAAAAAAAAGAAGAAAACTTGACGAAGACCGACCGAAAGTATTAAAAGGGGAAAAGCGATAAAACATAAAATAAAGAGGGTTGAGAAATTGAAGAGAAGATATAAAGAGAAAGAGTGGAAAGAGAGAGAGAGAGAGAGAGAGAGAGAGAGAGAGAAATAAAAGGAAATTTATAGAGGGTGAAATAGATATTAAGAAAGATAAGTGACAAGTTATAAAGCGAGAGAAATATCGAAAAATAGAAAGAAAAACAGAGTAAGAGAAGGTGGAAACTAAAGTGGAAAATATTAAAAGAGGCGGGTGTTATGAAAAAGAAAAAAAGAAAGATTAAAAGGCTAAAGAGAGAGAAAAAAGAATGAGAAAAGGAAGAGGGAAACATAAGCACTAAGAGAAAAGTGGATACTGAGAGAAAAAGTTTGAGATAGTAAAGCGAAAGAGAGATAACAGATAAAGAGAGGGAAAATGATCGAGAGAAAGGGTGAAGTGAGGGAGAGGAATTGAAGTCACAAGTGAGACGACTAGACAGAAAGATAAAAGGAAAAGGTGGGTTAGAAATAAGAGAGGGTAGGACGTAGTGGGAAGCAAAGTATTTAATCATGCCACTTGCATAAGAAGGGGATATGCACCCTCTCCTTCACACTTCCAACACTCCATCGCATTACATTCCTTACGTTCTGTTTATTCTCTATGTAATTCTTGTTTGTTTAAAAATCCCGACCCCCTTCTCTCTCTCTTTCTTTCTTGCAAACGAGACGACATTAAATAAGAGGACATATTAAACGAGAAGACATATTAAACGAGAGGACATATTAAGTGAGAGGATATATTAAAAGAAAGGACATATTAAATGAGAGGACATATTAAACGAGAAGACATATTAGACGAGAAGACATATTAAATGAGAGGACATATTAAACGAAGGACATATTAAACGAGAAGACATATTAAACGAGAAGACATATTATATGAGAGGACATATTAAACGAAGGACATATTAAACGAGAGGATATATTAAGTGAGAGGACATATTAAATGAGAGTACATATTAAAAAGAGGTCAAATTAAATGAGAGGACAAATTAAATGAGAGGACATATTAAACGAGAAAACTTATCGTATTTATTATTTTCAAGTTTTTAGTGTAGGAAGAGGAAATGGCAGTGTCTCTTAAAAATAATAAAAAAAAAGAACTGCAAATGTATTTTCCATGCATTTCCTACAAATTTTTACTTTACTCCAAGACGGAGGCGATCATGACTCTTCACAAATCTATTTCGTTAATTATCTGTGAATTACTGTGCTTTCTGGATAAAGATAATGAATTGGTTTCCGATTGACTTCTCCACTGTATGAAAAAAACAACAACAAAAAAAAAACAAATAAAAAAACATAACTTTTCCTTATCTTAGACTGGCTGAGTAGAAAACCCGGCTTAACCTACTATTTAACTCTTAGCTAGCGAGCTAGAGGAATTTCTGCGAAAATGGATGCAACAGACTAGACTGGAAGCATGAACTCGGTTCGTCTTTTCCATTTTCCGCGTCGACATTCACTGTACTAACCGACATATTAATCGAGGGGACATATTAAAAGAGATGACATATTAAACGGGACGACATATTAAACGAAGGACATATTAAAAGAGAGGACATATTACATGAGAGGACATATTAACCCACATATCCACAATGCTTATTATACAGGGTATACAGAAATACCCTCACTTGACAAAAAGACCAAGGTAACTGATATTAAAAAAATTATTTCATTGTTATTAAAACAAAGGAATGCAGTTTTTATTCACTTGGTTCTAAAAACGAAATCCTCTAAATGGTGGCTTCTTTTCGATATACACTGTTGTTGATTTGTCGACAATACATAAAGTTTCCCTTCACCCGGAAGTATGAGCGCTTCGAGGTCTTCTGGGTGGCTTTCTTCTAATCACTAAATCTGTGGCCCTGAAATGAGTAACCCATAGCAGTATCGATTTTCCATCCGGAACTACATCATTTCGACGTAAAATGAAAAGTTCTATGTGTAGCAATTACAGATTCATCAAAAAAAAAAAAAAGTTTCAAAAGCAAACAAACGGTGTGAACCAGTTCAAGCGTCGATGGAAACTGATGGTATCTGAAAAAATGTTAAGTCACTAGCTAGATGAAGGCACCATTGTCAATTGCCTAAGTTTACTTGCCCCACACATTTGACAGTTTAGAATGTGGAGGTATGTTTGCTGCATTTTGTATTTCAATAATCATTATTATAGGCGCTTATACAAGAAACACAATTTGTTGTCAATTTATATGAAGGTATAGTTTGGCACAAGGCAACAAGCAAGTTTCATGCACATGGCAGTTGTTAGGCACGGATTGAAAAATATATATATATATATATATATATATATTCTCCATTATATATATATATATATATATATATATATATATATATATATATATATATATATATATAACAAATGGAGAAACGTTTCGTTGAAACTAGAATTCATTATTTAATTTCCTAAAACTTTTTGTCGGGAATCTATACCTATTTTAAACACACATATGTATGTATATATATATATATATATATATATATATATATATATATATATATATATATATATATATATATATAATTATTTATTTAAAAATATGATTCCAACGCAACATAACGAGTTCTTTCCTATTTTCTATATATTCTTACACACACACACACACACACACACACACACACATATATATATATATATATATATATGACAAATGGAAAATGTATCATTGAAATTTGATTTGTTAAATTTCTTAAAAAAATTTGCAGGATTCTATATTCTACTTTAAACACACACACAGAGACAATCACACGCGTATATATATATATATATATATATATATATATATATACAAGTGTAAATGGATATAAATCCGACAGAATGAAGAAATTTTGAAAAACAAACAAAAATCTTTAAATGTAGTTAAATGAAATGTCCATCGTATTTGTCATATTGAACTGAATTGTATTTTTTATGAATATTGTCTTGAAAAGGTTTAATAAACCGAAACGTCAGACGTCGACATTTTTCTTTCATTTAACTACATTTAAGGATTTTTGTTTGTTTTTCAAATTTCTTCATATATATATATATATATATATATATATATACCGAGTGTGACAGAAAAAGTGTCCAAATCGTGTAACAGCAAAATTGTGCAATTGTTAGATTAAGCTTTGAACCCTTGTATCTTAGAAATGATTAAAGATATCTTAATGGAATTCTCCGAGGTTTTATAAAAATGTAGGACTCTACTTTGAGCAATAAAAATGTATAATTACTCTCTAAGCTTAACAGAAGTATCGTGAGGAGATCTATCATAAACGAAAATGACATGTTCAGCATTAATTAATCATAGTTAACGATCGGAAGCTCATGAAGGATTGAAATAAAGTTCAAATACATATATATTATTTCAGTATCATTTTCCAACTTATTCAAGATGATCTTTGCCCTCTCTAACCTTCTAATTTTCTGTCCTTGAGTAACAAGATGCCTCACAGTTTTCACATCCGATTTCATTTTCAAGACTTTTTTCACTGTTCTTTGGACTGTCATAGCTTAAATTCCTCTCTCACGTGCCAAACGCCTTAAAGATTGTGTTGGATCTTTTCTAATTGATCTCTTTAACTCTAAATTTAGAGCCTGAGTATAAATGTTGGTACCATTACTGAAGGAGTGAATGAACTTTTACCTCTCACTCTTGCTCATTTGGGAAGACAGTGGATCTCACTTAAAACAATTTTAACCTGCTCTCTTTTTAGTTGAATAACTCAAGGGATTTCTTACGAAAAATAGTGTTAAGATGGTTAAACGTCTTATTTGAAAACTTGAAAAAAGAAACTCAATTAGTTTAGTGTTTTTTAGATATTAAACATTTTGGGGATTGGATAATTATGCTGTTACACGATCTGGACAATTTATATATATATATATATATATATATATATATATATATATATATATAAGGTATGATGGGTACATTGATACCAATTTATATTTATAATTTTGCGCATGCGCATTGTTTGTTTTCCATCCTGTCGACTGTACAGTATAGTAGTGTCAGTTGGGCACCATCTGTGAGAAACAGAGTACCATGACGCAATCTACACCGCCAGAAATTTGGAAACGACCTGCTGCATTACGCACGCTCCAATACGATCATTTCAGAGTGTTTGGGTGTCAATCTGAGGAAAGTGCAGATGATTCGAAAAGAGTTAGACGCGTCCAGTGGTGATTAAATAGGTATTTGGACTGATCATTAGTGATGGCAATGTTATACCTTTATTCATCTTCCCACAGGGCTTCAGCCTCAACATCGAGGCCTACATCAAGTGCTTTGAGGAAGTAATGCGGCATTAGGTCAAGATGGTGGCTGCTGGAAGGCCATACTTCTGGCAGCAGGACTCTGCACCATGCCATACAAGTAATAAAGCCTAGTCATGATTGTCAGACAACTTCTACGTCCGCATCACCACTTACATTTGGCCACCTAACTCCCCAGACTGCAACCATCTTGAATATTATGTGTGTCGCGCAGTTGAGCGATAGACAAAAAAATCCTTGTACAAAGGTGAACAGAAGTCAAGGCTTATGGCAGCATTTACAAGGAGACCGTCAAGAAGAGTTGCGGGTGATTCCGAAGTCATCTGGAAGCTTAGGTTGACGCCAATTTTGGGTTTATGTAGACTGCGTGAAACCCAAAATTATTAAAAATTAATCAGTTTGTCTGACGATCGCAAAAGCGTGAAACCCAGGGTCACAAACTCACATCAATCCAACCAAATATGTTAGCTCTATCTCTGATATTGAGCGCTTTCTAATAAGTACCGCGCATATATCCAACCACCAAATATAACTAAATATATATATATATATATATATTTATATTTAACCAAGTATATAATTGGTATATACGGGATGAATTCCAATAACCAACAATTACTATTCTTAAAAGAGTGCTCAATACAAAGTAAAGCAGATATAATTATTTAAAAAAAAAAATTATAGCATGAATATGTTATAAAATCACTACAAAAATAGCCATTTTGTTTCAACACCCCTGGTGTCTTATCAAGTGATGATGTTTAAGACACCAGGGGTGTTGAAACAAAATAACTATTTTATAGTGATTTATTTATATTTAAAAAAAAAAAAAATAATTATATTTATATTTATATACACACACTTTCACACACACACACACACACACACACACATATATATATAATAACAAAGTACAGATCCTCTATTTATATATATATATATATATATATATATATATATATATAACGACTCAATCCATAAGGACATTAACCGATTAAACAGGGCTGTATAGTACCTTTAAGCGAAATTCTTCACGTCAAAGTTTCTCGAAATTTCGAATACGAACGTTAAAAATCAATTTCTAAAAGAAATAATGGATTTTTATTTATTGATCCGACAGATTTTATCACTTTAAACATTATTTTTAGAGTATACCCATATTTAAATAAAGGGTCTGTACTTTATTGTTATTATATATATATATATATATATATATATATATAT